GAAGACAGGTAGGTAAGGTAAGTTCTAGACAATATAAATTAACAGTTGAAATAAAGAACATGTTAACTTAAACTTGTAGGAATTGATTTAAACCAAAATGTTATATTAGATAATCTGTAAAAGTGCAAAACATAAACAAACCCGGGATAGTAGATGTTTGCCTATTGCAGATTACATGTGAAATATGGTTAAATCAAAACAAGAATGTTAACTAAGAATATATAGACAAGTGGTGCTCTCACCCAATTTGTCACACAGTGAAAAAGGAAATACGAAAAAATTATGAAACATAGGCTGGACCTCAGAAAAGTTCAATTGAGACTGTTCACAGTGATAAGACCCAGCTATCCACCCGTTCTGCTTGGTCCCACAGCGTCATCAGTGTGGTGATGCTGTTGAGACTGGTCCCTGAGCAGCTCTGTTCTGTTTTCATGGCGTTTAGTCGGTGTCCCTGCCATTAAAAATGAATGGTCATTGTGACTCATTTCGTAACTGTTTATGTAAGCTTCTAATGCGTGTTTTTCTCTCCGGAAGCCTGAATTTACTGCTCCCACACTCTTTCCTCACACGCTCAGTATTGTTTCCATCCTTTCAGAGGATTCATTTTCATTTTCTTTGGTCTTACACTAATTCAAACCATAACCACTGTCCTCCTAACCTAACTTTAGTTAGACTTCCCAGAACCTTAATCAAGTCTTCAACTTGCAATCTTAAGGAAAGAATTGTATCAAAGTGAAGATCAACCAAACTGTCTTCAGTTTCATCGCTCTTATGTGATCTCATAAAGATAGGTCCACGTGTACACGCTTGGCAGTGCTGTACCAAATGTTAATTGTAAGGAACCCAAGCTTCCCAAACGAATGTATTTACTTCCAAAATGGCTCCACTTACTGGAAAAGAGGAGCTTCGGTTTTTAAGTTTGTTTCAGTAGAGTCTGGCCAAGTCTTTTTTTTCCAGTGTGCTCTAAATTTACTGTTATTTCAAATGTTTCACCTTCCCTGGGAAATGTGACATTGTTTTTCAAGGGTAGCTACAGGCACTGTGCTGAAAAGAAAAATAAAACCATAAGCCAGAGCAGAATAGAAACTTGTCAACCTGGAAAGTCTCGTCAAACTCTACAATCACCGAACACTGAATTAATTTTCGATGTGGTGACAGTGGTGGTGGTGGAGGCAGTTAATATGCATCATTGATGTTGCCCATAATGATGCTAAGGAATATGACCCTGTCTATTCTGCTGTTAACCACAAGCAGACACCTGTGACTGCTCTCTAGGCCAATAGCCAACATTGATTTGCCTGCTTTGAGCCTTTATTTGTTTATTCCCGCAAATGTCACGCAGACAGACAAGCTGGTTAAAACAAAGCTCAGAAAGTGAGAGGTGTTCTTTTACATATCGGTCGGTCTATTTGCAACATTTAGGCATGAAATTTGACTATGTGTAAAGTAGGACCCCACTGGCTACAACAGTCTTCCCATGTTTGGAAGGAGAAGCGGAAAGCTTCTTTGGATTCATTGTCGTTGTTTGATGGAGTATTATGCTTGCTGATGTCTATCTCTTAAACACACAAATAGCTCGACTGGTTTTGACACACACAGGAAATCTGCACATGAGCGATGCTACTATAATACCAGCATACTTTGTCTTCCTTTACATTGTTTGAAAGAAAGCGTAGGGAAATGTTTTGATGCAAAGTTTGAATATTTCTCAGTATGTGATCAATCTTAGCAATACTTCAGATATTTCTCTTTCATTATTTTTTTTGGAAAGGGTATCCATGGCATTGATTTGGATGAACTAACCGACAAGCTGCATTATCGGCTTCATTATCTTGTTGCGTTACTAAGCATAAAGTGGAAACATCATACCTAAGGGTATTAATACACTTCCCCTTTTCAACAATACCATGAAGTCAGCCTTCCATTATTAGTGCTTTAAAAGAATAGATGAAACGGTATTAGTCCATTTCGTGTTTGAATTAAATTAAGAGTGATATCATTCATACTT